TTTTATTATTAAGCTAAATTTGTGCACTAATTGAGATTAGCCAAATGGTTTAATAATATAAATTTTGACCAAAATTTAGATTTTCCCTTTTCTACTGATCGCCTCCCATATAGAGATAATAATAAGTTGACAAAACATATCATCAACTAATAACTGCATAGCTTATTTGAACCTCTAATTATTCTAATAAACTAATAATAGATGAATCATTAACAACTACCTTACCAACTTTCATTCGAACTGGTAAATCTTATTTTTATGAAAAATAACTTCACATTAATTCAATGATTTCCTTATATGGATTACTTTCAATTTTTCTTACACTGAAATGACCAAAAGACATTGGAAACACTTACATAAAATTTTAAAATCAACAGATAACCATCAATAACCATCATACAATTCTAACAAATAGACCAGTACATACTATATTACATTTTATGTATCGCTTTCAGTAACTCAAAAAGTATGTTTTAAAAATCCATATCATTCAAATTAGAGTAATGTAACTTAATTTTTCAAAAGAATAGAATTTCAAAATCATAGTGCTGCACATACACACAGTATATATTGGGTAACAAAGTCAATTAAACAGATGATTGCTGAAAATGTCATAAAATCTGACTTATTGGATCAAATTTTAGAACCTGAATTATATACAAAAGTAAAAGCAAATCAAATACACTCTTGTAATCTGAAATGTGAAGGTCTCACTGCTTTAGAACATACTTGCAAAAAAGGATTTCCTTATCCTTTTTAATCATCTACTTATTTTAATAATAAAATTCAAACTTATATTTATAAATGTCTTAAACTAAAAGATCAATGGGTCATTTCTTATTATCCTCAAATTTTATTGATTTGGGATGTACATATGAATATTCAATATGTAAGCTCTCGAAAAATAGCTTTTTATTTAACAAAATACAGTGAACTCTTGATATAACGAATTCTAGGATCTGGATATCAACTTTGTTATAAGTTTATAACGAATTTTTTAAAGAATTTAATTGGTTAGTTCACTATAGTAAAGGTAATTTTAATATATTTGATTTAAAAATTCGTTATATCAAGGGTTCACTATATCAAGGTTTGACTGTATATAGTAAAATTAGAATTATCTCATGTTTTTAATATTAAAGAAGGTGATAAATTTAGAGAATATGTTGTAGCCCCGAAGAATAAGTTCTATAAAATTAATATTTTTGATACTAGGTGAAACTATTTGTAATTCTTTATCCTTTGTTATTTATCTTATCACTGATTCTTCATCAACTAGACCTAAAGCGATATGCTCTATTTATCTAATCAATGAAACTAACGATAATTTATATTGGGTAAATCATATTGAAAAATATTTCGATCGACTATCTAAAGAAGAATTTAATGACTTAACATATTCACAATATTTTCAAAATTATGAAATATCAATTTTGAAACTTACAACACAATCTATTATTTACATTGACAGATTAGGCAATTATATAATTAAAAGAACTACTCCAAAATTAGTTCAGTTCAGTTATCTTGATCAACTTTGTAGGAATAAAAGGTTATGCTTATACTATATCAAGGGGTAAGAATGTGCAGTTATCTAAATTTGGAAATACAACTGAGCAAGTATGATCATGTTCTTCTTAGTTACGAAAGGAAATTTTGATGATGCACTGAGATTGGTCAGTTGGATGTTTGACCAAGTTTGCTCTTGTAAATGAATCATATTTGTCAAAGAGCAAGTCGACAATGAATAAGACTTTTAGTTGCAGTAAGATTCCAGAAAATTCTTCAAAAGGAAAAATCCATGAAAAGAAGATTTCGGTCAGTCAAACATTTGAACTAAAGTCATTCCTTTATCTAAAAAGTTCTCTAATGCATCACAACTTGCGTGCGTTAACGTCAAGAGTAGTGGTAGTTTTAGCTGGAATCATTTCTAAAGTATCTTTCTCTTTGCCTTTTTTTGAAGGCGGAGGGTCGACTTCCATTGTCACAACTGGTTCTAGAGTCTCAGAAGTGGTTTGCATTGGTAGAATATCCACAGTTTGAGTTGTATTTTGTTTTTTGTTTTTGTTGGTTGTTAAAGGTGAAGACAAACATTCTCTTTGTTTGTTTTTCTGCTCTCTATTATTTCGGGTCATTTATGGGATAACAGGAGAAAGTTTTTTAGTTAAACACTTTAAATACTTCAAGAAATTTTTTCTGCTGGTCAAGCTTATGTTGTATTAAACAGATGCTCTGATTGGTCAAAAGTGCACATCGCTTCATTACATCCTTCAGCATTTATTACAGACAAATCAAAGCTTAAAGAATATGAACGATTAGAACAAAAATCAAATACTTCTTTACCTTTGTAAATAAAGTAAATTTTTAAATAATTATAATAAAATTTTTATTAAATAACTTGAATATTTGAAAATTTATTAAATTACTTTACAAATACAATAAACTATTTATTTATATACAAATATTATTAATTATAATATAAATTTATTTAATTAACATAAGATATTTAATCTGACGCTTAATGGGGGACGAAGTCCCCGCATATCGCAACTTCTAGTTAGTATTATTTAAAGCTTAAATTAAAATTATCGATCAAGAATTTCAAATTATATTATTAAATGGGATCAGTATAAGGTCAAAGGCCTCTGATCGACCGTTGACCGACCGTTAACCGACCATGACCGACCGTTACATCCCTAGCCCAGAATCACAAATCCAAATTTAGTTCCCAATATTATAACTCGAAGGGCTGAATAAGTGATTTATCCGGTAATACTACATTCGTTGTGTTAATTTTTGTTATTTGTAATTTAAGTTTCGAAAATCGTAGTTAGGTCCGAAACACAAGTGTAACGTTCTTCACTTCGTTCCGACTAAAAAGATTACTTCTTTAGAAAACTTTATTGAAACTTATAATCATAAACTGTTGCAAAATATAAGGCATGAAATCAATTGTGGTCTTCATTTAATGTTAACTTCTAAATGAATTAAAAATTCTTTTTATGAATTACAGTATTGTTTAATTTAGTTTCGTGATTTCCAATTCTCTATAAAGAGGAATGTTTTGAGAAAATGAAAATTTTTATCATAAAAATTTGAAAGTAATTAAAAAAAAAATAATGAGAATAAAGGAAAAATCATATCGCGTACTTTCAAATAAAAAATAAAAATTAAAAAATAAATCTCGAAACAATAGAACCTGAAAAACAGGTATAACATCAATGGAAGTTTTTGAAAAAAAAAATGCTAATTCACTATATATCATCACTCCGGCCGTCTAAATATAAATTTCTTGGGAAAAAAAATTTATTTTTTGTGAGAAAAATGCTAATTGTCACCAAAATACAGTATGCGGCTACCATTTTTTTTTTGATAATGGATAAGTCGTAAAATGTATATTATAAGGATTTATAATTGTTGAGGAAGTTATTTATATCAGTTTATGTTATGAAAAACGCGATTATTCAAAAATTATTCTCAATCGACGAGATCCTTTATATAATTTTTTATAAACCAATGAATTAAATTTTTAAAACTAATCCATGCTTCTAATTGTAACGTTCGAGCAAACTCAACTACCAGCAATGTAGTTGTTGCTGTTTCCTCATACCTTATTATAATCGGATGATGTTATTATAATTATTTAAAAAGATGACAAATGTCAAAAAAATCCACCTCAAATTCGCATAATTAATTTTCTTTCAAACGAATAATTATGTTTTTAAAACTTTTTATATTGCTAAAATGTATGTAGAGCTTTACTCTTTTTGCATAATTCTTACATTATATAATTCCTACCTAATAAAACAAATAAAAACAAAAAAATATTAAAGATAAATTCTCACCTCAAATAAATTTAAAGAGTTTTTTATCTTAAACTTTATTATATCAAGTTTACGACAAATAAAAAAAAAAATATTAACTAATATTAATAATGTAAATGCAATTAATCATATTATTATTTTGTCAATCCTTCATAAATGCGTGACATGATAACAGTTTGCATAGCTTCTTGATGCGAAAGATTGTTAATCGAATAACAAAATAAAGTCATTCATGTCATTTCCTTATTCCTACATCATCAAACTTTGCAATATATTAATTTGAATCGACAACTCATGTTGATCTCGTCAGCTTCATCCTTTATTACAGATGTTTTTTAATGTTTTGTTGATTATATCTGTATTTTTCTCACATGTATCTATAGAATTCTACAAATACTAGAATATATATATAGTTAGTAATTATTTCATTATCATTGTTTGTTTGCTTTTAAGTTTAGCTTATTTTTCAATTCCAGCGTAATAATAGAATCAGAAGTAAAAACAGTACTTTCCCATATGATATGCTAACGGTTGAACCTATTTTTTAACTTCGAAGATAAAAACATTAGATCACAAAAAATAGTTCATAACGTAATTAAGGAATGGTGTGAATGATTATACTTATTCGCTACATTGATGAATTAAGACTATCGATATAATAAACATCTTTGTTTGAAGAAAAGGTTTCTTACAATCTTTGAGAACGACTAAAGTATTAAGAAATAGAACTTTATCATTAGGTTATGGTCCGCCTACAACAAGAGAAAGGCTCAAATACTATTTGCATAACATACCTGGCTACGACCTAATCGCCAAAGAATCAATTGACAACTCGTGCTTTTACCTTATTTTTTAAATTACTATTCAACTTGTATTTGCAATAACGTTTCAATTCGCCACAAGAAGAATTCATTTAGCAATACCAAGGTTGTATTCTTTAAAGTCTTCAACAAAACAAAAAAGGTTTGACGCACGCCTTTATGCGTAAAATAAAAAAAATATATATTTGAAAAAAAAAGTTAGATAAAAAAGGTGACTATTTATTGAGCGTTACACAATAAATTTTTAACATTTCGTGCGACACAAGATTTGATCTTTTTTTCACGATTAAATTCTTCTCGTTTTAGAAAAAAACTTTTAACTTTTATTGAAATAAGGTCAATATTATTATTAGTTATGACATTACCTTTCGAAGATCTTAATAGAATATTTAAAGAGTTGTCGAGAAAAGACTTGCACTCTTGCTCTCTTGTAAATCGAACTTGGAGTTTGGTTGCCTTGCCAATGCTTTGGCGTAACTTTCCTTTGTACACCGTTAAAACAATAAGTACTTTAATTTCCTGTTTATCGGAGCAAGCTAAAGATGATTTAAAGAAAATGGGCATTCGTTTGGAAAATTGGATGAAACTCGGATCAAGCATTGATTATCCATCCTATATGTCAAGTTTAGATTATTCAACCTTGCTGAGAAATGTTCATTGTTTGTTATCCAAGCAAATAAATCAAGAACAACAATTGAAATGCTTAATGTATCATTTGATGGAGTACCTCTGCAAATTATTAATGAATCGATGCGTCAATCTAGTAAACCTAGAATTTAATCATATAACATTGATTGAAGCAAATTACATTCTCATTATACCTTTTTATCACTTTCCAGGAGCAAATGATTCCCTTATCAATATTACATCTTTGACTTTGGATTGTAAACTTACTTATAGTGATCAGTTTTTTTATGCACTTTCCGGAGTTTGTAAACGTGTCAAGAAATTATCCCTCCTTCATTCAAAAGACAGCAATTCTTTGATTTATTTTATAACGTCTCTGGATCATTTAGAGGAATTATATATTGGGGATAGCAGCGCTTTTTTTCAAGCAAAGAGTACATCAGAACAATTGGAACAACAAGCACAATCACTTAAAGGACTTGAACTACATTATAGTTCAGTTTCGAAATCATTCTTAAGTCAATGCATTAATTTAAAAGTTTTAACAATTTATGGAGATTACTTCTTTCGGAATATTGAAAGCTTGAACGATATTGAGCTTATTAAACTTGAGGAAATCTGTATCGATGAAGTAAACGAAGTAAGTAAGAATAAAATCACAAAACTCTTACTTAATACCAAAGATATTCTCAAAAGGATTTCATTAAAAGGGGATTTTAATCAATCGATTGATCTTACCAAAGCAATTGTGTACAATTGTGCAAATTTAGTTTATTTTAATGGAATATTTGATGATTCTTTAACTGGTTTGTTAGCAACATTTGTTCAAAATTGCCCATTTCTTGAAATCTTTGAAGTTTATAATAATGATTTAGATGATGATTCAACTAATATTAAAATTAGTGTTGAATTAAAACGTTTGGGTGACATCATTACGGGAAATCTTAAAAAATTACGATTAAAAGAATCATGGATTTACGATATTGATTCTTTGGATTATTTTATGAAAAGTTGTTTTGAAAAATTGAAGGGAAGATTTGAATTTTACATCAATCTTAAGAAACTTGATAACATGCAGAATTATTATGGCAAAAAGGTTTTGTTTAAAGATTATTGCAAAGGACTTATGCATGTAGAATTGATATGTTAATAGATTGAAATATTTGGGTTTATATATATTTCTGAATGTATTTGATTTAATTTTTTTTTTTACAATGTTAATAAATCAAATACAATGAACCTAATCTAAACTGATTCGTGATAAATTGTAATTATATACATTTAAAGCTCAAATATTTCGATACAAAAATATTATCAGTATTTAGTTATATATTTATCAAATAACTAAATTTTAACTAAATAAACGAAATACTTAAATCATATTTAATGAATGTAAAGTTATTAATATCAGATTACAGGATCTTCATTTAAAATGTGACTAACTTTAAAAATTTTTTTTAAAAAAATCGATTACTAAAAAAAAAAAAGAAATATCAAAAATTTGTATTAAAGTAGTAAAATTCAAAGTCTTATAAAAATTTAGGTATTTCAAAAATAGATTTAATAGCAAATTAAAAATAGCAAAAAATTCAAATTTAAATAATATTTTAATTGCAAAATTCTAAATATTAAATTTTAGTATATTTTTATCAATTAATTAAATTTAATATTTAAAATTATTAATAAAAATGTTTATTGAAAAACAACAATTATTTTGATATATTATTTATTCAAAATTTAACTTACCAATCTATCTTTCAAATGATTTATTAAATAATTATTTCAATTAAATCAATAAAATCAAATTATTAGTTTAAATGTATAAGATTTACATATAGATTAAATTTTAAAATTTTTATTATAATACTAATTATTTAACAAATTTTAATTTTATAATTATTTAATATTTTTATACTATTTGTAAAAAGACTAAAGTAATTGGTTCTTTAACTAAAAAATGAATGAGAAGGATATTAAATTTGATAATTTTGTATTTTTTTTTTATTTTTGGATTTTATTATTTAAATGTTTAAAATATTAAAATTATAAAACAAAAAAATAAAAATAATATAAAATTATCAAATTTTAATTTTAAAATTGTTTAATATTTTTATACTATTTGTAAATAAAATAAAGTAATTGATTCTTTGACTTATAAAATGAGAAAAATAATTTTTTTTATTTTTGGTTTTATTTTTTAAATATTTAAAATATTAAAATAATAAATCAAATAATTAATAAACTAAATATAATTAAAAATATATTATATTTATATTATATTTTTTATAAGGATGTTAAAAAGTCCAATGGGATCAGGTCCTAAACAGTTTTATGAAGTCCAGTCCAGTTCAAGTCCTTTGAACTATAGGACTGCAGTCTTATTTAAATTAGAACTTGCAGTCCTCAGACTGCAGTCCTATATCAAATGAGACAGGACTGCAATCCTAATATAAAACGGGACTTGTGGTCCTAGAAACTAACAAATCTAAGTCAAAAAAGAACAATAAGAAAATTGTTCATCTTAAACGATAATGTATCATTCTATTAGAATGATGAAAAAATCATTCAACTTGAATGATAATGTATCACTCTATTAGAACAATGAATCAATCGTTCATCTTGAACGATAATGTATCTTTCAAATAAAACAATGAAATAATTGTTCTATTATAATGATAAATAAATCATTCGTCTTGAACGATAATGTATCATTCTATTAGAATGATGAATAAATTGTTCAAGAAGAACAATAGTGTATCATTCAAATAGAATGATGAAAAAATCGTTCAAAAAAAACAATAATGTATCATTCTATTAAAATGATGAAAATATTGTTCGACTTGAATGATAATGTGTCATTCTATTAGAATGATGAATCAATCGTTCGTCTTGAACTATAATATATTGTTCTATCAGAACGATGAATAAATCATTTAACGTGAATCATTTTATTAGAACGATAAATAAATCATTAAATATGAACGATATTGTATCATCCTATTAGAACGATGAATAAATCATTTGTCTTGAATGATGATGTATCTTTCTATTAAAATGATGAATAAATCGTTTGTCTTGAATGATGATGTATTGTTCTATTAGAACAATGAATAAATCATTCGTCTTGAATGATAATGTATCGTTCAACTAAAATAATGAAAATATCATTCTTCTAAAATATTGTAAATAAAGATTGTTCTTCTAGAACGATAAAAAGATCATTCTTCTTGATTGATAATATATTGTTCTATTGGAATGATTAAATTTGAACTGCAAATATCATAAAATTTTATTTATTTATTTTAAAAAAAAATATAAATAATAAAGAATATATATAATTATTATTTTCAAAACTATTGACTATATACATATAAAATTTAAATATTTTGTAAAGTTATTAATTCACTATCAATCCAACTTTTTAAGTATAATGATGCTTATGCTTTTTGTGGATCCAGCCTATTTCTTATTTGACTAATTGTATTTTTAGCTATGCTAAAAGCTTGCTCACTTGGTACACTTGTTGATTGTATAGATAAATAGTCTTTTGCTATATTTACAAGTGAGAATATTTTGGATCTTGTTCTTTAGCTTTATATCAAGCTAAAGAATCTGTATTCTCTTCAGATGAATTTAAATAAGTTTCCAATATATTATTATTATTATTATTATTTCTTGACATTTTTAATCTTTTTCTAAAATAATTTCTTGAAGATGTTTCTTCTGTAACTTCTAAAGAAAAATTGGTTGTCATCATATAACCTTTATACTTTTCTTTAAAAGATTCTTATATTAATTTCATCAAATATTGATAATTTATGAGTTGGATCAATTATTGAAGCTATTTTTGAACTTTCATTTAGATAAATCCAATATTCATATAGTTTTTTGTTCATTGCTGTTGCAATAAGAGATAATGTTGATGAATTTTCTGTCATTTTTGATTCAAGTAATTCCATTATAATTATAAAAGCTATACATAAATCTCCTTGTGTAAGATATAATGAACCAGATATAAGTTTTGTAGCTTCATATATTGGTTCCATTAATATACAAAGATCCTATTATATATTTTATAATATTAGTATTTATATTAATAATTTTTTAAAAAATAAATAATATTTACATTAATATCAAGCCAACCTTCATCTGTTGGATAAATATATTTTAGTTGATTATTACTAGCAATTAAAATATTAGTCATATTTTTAATTCTATGAAGTTTTTGAATTGATAAATATAAAGAATTCCATCTTGTAGGAATATTTATATCAGGAATAAGAAATAGCTGATTTTTCATTTCAAATATTTTTTTAAGTTTTTCAAAAAGTGGTAATGAATTTCAAATTTTATTAGCAAATTTTCTAGCTTTTTCAATTGGTTCATTAATTAATTTAATGCCTTCTTGTACTACTATATTTAAAATATGAGCTGCGTATCTAAAATGCATAAATTCTATATTATTACAATCATTTACAAGTATAGTTTTAAGATATTATCCAAATACAATTATATTAGGAGCATTATTTGTTGTAACAGCTAATATTTTACTTTCTAAATTATATTCTTTTAAAGTATTATATATTTTTTCAGCAATAGCTATTCCAGTATGTCTTTCATACGCAGGTTAAAATCAAGAAGAATATTTTTCATATACCATTTTTCATCAATCCAATGTAATGTAACTGAAATATAAGATTGATTTGTATATGCTGTTCATGCATCTGTTGTAATAGAAAATTTTTGTTCTATTGATGATAATATATTGCAAATAATTAACTTTTGCTTATTAAAAATTTCACTAATATGTTGTGAAACTGTTTGTCTTGTTGGCAATTTATATTTAAGATTTAGAACAAATAATAAAGATTTAAATTCTTTATTTTCAACCACATTAAATGGTTGTTGATCATTTATAATCCAGCTATATATATGAAGATTAATCAATTCAACTCGATTTATATCATTTTTAGTATATGGAAGCTGATTATTTTGTACTTCTTGATTAATTTGTTTATAATAAAAATGGTACAGCAATTGATTTCAAATTTACAAAATGTTGCAACATAAGCTAAAATTAGTTGTAACATATGTTGCAACAT